CTGTGTTCCTCCAGCTCCACACTGTGTTATAATTGAGCTATAATGTTTTGTTAGGTCTGTCTTTGTTGCACTATATTGGGAACAGGTGTCATCCTGTAAAAAGATAACAGGAGCCTATTCTATGGAGTCTGTGCCACTTTCCTGACACTGGAGTTCATTCCCCCTTCTACTCTGTGCAAGAGTCGGGGAATGAAGTGTGATAGCCTTTAGTATCATGCCTATGATATCCTTTCCACATTGCAGTCACATCTTTCGAACTATACTTCTGGCATTGACCTCAGACACTTCTTTACATTATAGATTGCTAAAGAGTTATAGTGTATTGTATAAATCAAGCTTCCAGCTTTATGCTTAGTTAGTTGATTTCACTGTGCACTTTGGGTTTTGGTGATTAGCCTGACCACTCATAACGTACGGAGTGTAAAAGCAGTCAGGACTACTACTCCAGACTGTACTCTCAGCTGGCCTGAATGGTGCACATGTTCGTAAAGATGAGGAGAAATGTGGTTTTGGCTAGATGGGCCTCTGTTATTGAATACCAGATCAGCTTGTACAGTCTGAAGAATAAATGACAGGGGACAAAGAGGAAAGAAAGAACTCGCATATAGGTCATGGATTTTATGATCTTAGTGCATCCCAAAATACTTAATAGCCAATGTATCTTTTCTGAATATTAGTCACCAGTACAATGTAGGGAAAGCATGGCTATTCTACTAGACCCGAACTCCACACTTTGAGTTCAGTCAAGGACATGTTTATGGGGAACGTGTGAACTGAAAGCAGTGTTTTCTCCAAACCTCTGAGCAGAACACTCTGTCTAATTTTGACTTGTGTGATATCCGTAGTGGCTTAGAGAAGTTGCATGTGAAGATAAGGGGATTTAAATAGATGGGAATATAGCATTGACATTTTCTCAACAAAGCCATATGTTAGGCAGACAAAAATGGATGACTCAATGCAGTTGAGGAATTCAAACTGTAAACTATTCTGTATGTTGACAGTTCTTTTGGATATACAGTCCATATAAAATGTACCAGGCAACCAGTGTATTCAAATATATAATTTTCTTTGGAATCACAGAGTCCAGTTTAATAAGATGAATCATCTGATCTCTCCTCAGAGTATTGTGAAGACCCAAGGCTTCCATGAGCTTTCTGATCCTGCCTTGCTTTCTATTCTGCAGAGTGACCTGCTCACTATCGATGAACCGGATTTAATTAACTTTGTCAGAGAATGGGCTCATGTTAACTCAGTAAGTCTAGATGTGTGAAATCTGGCTTAAATCCACTGAAGCCATCACTGAATTGGGTCCTGTGGAAACAGACCTCTCTGAATACTGTAGATTGAGTGTGTGACATTCAAATCTAAATTACTGTCTTTTATTATATGTGTATATTTTCACAATGTAAACTCAAATTAGTGCAAAGACTAAGGGATGCACATTTCAAAGTGTTAACATCAGATTGCATTTGTACTCAACTTTTCAGAGAGAGAGGTGAAACTCTAATCCATCAAATACTTTTATACCTGTACCAAATAACTGTTAGAGTGGGGAGTTAAACATACGGTTCACATTCAGCTGCCCCAAGTCTCCTGGATACTCCTTCTATTAGGCAGCAAGAACTTTGCCTTTTACATATCACTTGTTATATTGGAATACCTTTCTCCTGACTTCATACTGTCATTGCCCTCCCCACTTACAGTGGCACAGAACAGACACTTGCTTAGCAATGGTCGGAGCCAAAACTATTTGAAGGTGACAGAGAGACTAGAAACAATAGGGTAGATGATTAGAATTCCAAGGGGGGAGAGTTTAAGGGATTGAACAACAGAGGCAGAGTGAGGAAGTGGTTGTGGTGTGGTGGAATGTGATTGGTCATTGTTGCTGGGGTTTGAGGACAAAGGGAGCAAAGATTGGGGTGACAGGGAACTGGTGTCAGAGAGGATGGCAGGACCAGGGCATAAAAGCAAACAGGAAACTGATGAACAAATGTTAGGAGATGGCCTAGAGGTTACAGGCTGGGAATTGGGGCTTGGAAATGTGGTCTGAGGAGAAGGAAGGAGGTTAAGGAATGGGATTTGAGAAACTGAAGCAAGGGTGTTGGAGAGGAATTTGGCAATCAGAGGGAAACAAAGAGTCATGCAGTTTGAACTTCAATGATGTGGGAGAGAGGAATGTGAAATGGGATGGGATTGTACGGGCATGAGGGCTCTTATTCCTTTCAGAGAACTGAGGACAGCTACAATATAGTGAGTTGCAGTTGTGACTCACATGAACTGATGCTGCTAGCCGCTCACAATATTATTAAATTGCAAGCATCATGTGTAGGGCAGTGAAATGAATAAGGTTTGAATACAAAGTGGCAGTGGCCCACAGTAATGGCCTGAAGCCAGGGCATGCCAACCTATTTCTCCATGCTCAATAGAAAGGGAGTTAAATCAACTTCTCTTATCGTTTCTTCTTGGCTTAAGAGCCGCTGTAAAATGCTTGCAAGGTGCATGCCTCACCTAGTTTTGCACAGGTTTTGAAACATGAGTAGGATTTTTCTTTGCATTTTTATATAATTCAATTACTGATTTCAGGCTGCTGCCAGATACACCTAGAAACAATGAGGGCCAATATGGTGGCTGCGATGTTGCCAGGGCAGATTATGCATGTCCATAAATTGGCATATGTAGCAACCACTTTATCTCCTAAAAATTGGAAAAAATTGCAATCCAATTTCTACCCTAAATATTTCCAATCGACTGCGCTGCAAGTCCAAGAGCCAAGTTACAAAATCAAGCCCACCTGGTAAACTGAGTCCGACATCACTGTTTTATAGTTTTAAGACCAGGATAAAAATCCTCTTTGCACCTCTAAAATGCAAGACCAAGTGTAAACTTCACTGTAATGTTCCATGATATTTGCAAAATTGGGTAGGGCTGCCAACTACATCACCCGGTTATCGAGTTAGAAAACGTCTGTTTTGTCCTAGATTTAGCTGAAGAATATCCTCTTTTGTCATTTTTATCTTCCAACATAGGTAGTTCTGGACAAACCGGTACCTGAAATAGCAAAGGACATTATCTGTGAACTGCGGCTTTTTCTGTTGAGCCCTGAAGAGCTGACAATCCTAGAAGCTGAAAACAAGAAAGATAACCTCATTCCTGTAAGTTTATCCAGCAGGTTTATTAATGAGATTGCACTTTAATGGGGAAAAGGGACAAACCTTTATATTTATGTTTGTGAAGAAGTAAATAATGACATAAAACATTGAAATACATTCATTTGTTACAAGCAAATCACAATGAAAATGATATAACCCCTCTGCAAATGATGGACTGTATTTTGCAGATATCTAAGTGGGTTTATCTATCATTCCCATCCTGCAGCCATTTAATGCCCATTGAGACATTAATTATCTTGAGATGAGAGTCCCTCCCAGGTTCCACTTCCAAGAGCTGCTGACCAGCCAGATGGTCAACAAATATCTGGTCCCCACAGTGCCAGTGGGAGCATTGGTTGCCACTGGGACTGCATTCAGCCTCCAGTTTATTCCCTGGTGCAGGATGCAAGGTACGTGGGGCAGCAGGATATGACGAGATCCAGGCTGGCATGCACTGGCAAGAGGGATCGGGACTGGGAAAGACAGTGGTAGGTGGGGAAGAGTGGGGATATCTGGAGTTTGGGATGGGGTGAGGGTTTGCTGAAATTCTGGGTCGATACAGCAGATGCATAGAGGAGGCACCCACCTCCTCACTTTCCCTCCGGACCCCCAGCAGCGTTATTTGCTGGATTTCCGATTCATCACCCACCTCAGCCTCCTACCGATGAAAAAGAGGCAAAGGAGGGGAATGGCCCTTGACTGCCTCAATTGACCACTTAAGGAACCTTAATTGGCACATTGTCAACTTGTTTCCGATACACTGGTTTAATCATGGGAGCCCCTTAAAGCTCTGTCTGCAGCTTTCCCCTGCTCCACTGCTCGTAAAATTGTAGCAGGTACAGGGGCAAGTGGATAAGTAGCAGGAAAGGGCCCGTAGCATCTAATGGTCCTTCCACTTGCCAGTCCCCCTGCAGGGGAATGTATGATTCTGCCCAGCATTTCAAAAGTAAACTGCAAAATCAATTAAACAAACCTTCAGATCACCTTTTGAATAACACAAGAGCCTTAAAATAAAGTCTCCTCTGGAATGACTGAGTATTTATGCATGAAAACGGTTGTGTGACACTTTTAATGAAACCTTTGGTAGCAGGATAAGCCCTAATAACAAGCTATTTCAGGGGTGATCGTTTTGATATTACCATTTATAGAATTGCTCAGTGGAATTCGGTACATGTTCCATTTTAGCCTTTAAACTACAGCTTGTTCTGTTTATGTAGCAAATACTTGGCAGAGGGTGAAAACAGAAACCTGCTCAGAAACCTGATCAGATTGACAGCTTTACAAAGAGGCAGACAGAACTTTAAGGGGCTCCCATGATTAAACCACCCTCCAGTATATCAAAAACAAGTTGGCATCTCTGAATTAGAGATTAAATAAAAGCCCACAGAGATGCGTAGAAGTGGAATGATGTTTAAAGAAATCCTAAATTGTTTAAAACAAAACATAGATTCATCTGGGGGACAGTGCCGTCCCTTTTCATTACTAAAGGTGCACGAATACATTTCTGCACAAAACTGAAAATGTGTTGCATTCCTGATTCAGTTTCCATAAAATTTTAGAAGTATCTGTTCCAGCAGAGAGTTGTAAACCTTTAGCAGGCAAAATGGTTTATCATGTAATCTGAGCCCAGGGACTGCATTAGGATGACTCACCATGCAGTTCTCGCTAGTGTGTGGGTTCTATCCAGTCGCTATCACATCTTTACTTCAGTTCAAAACCACAATCTCTTCATAAATTGAAGCAGATCAGTCTGGCTGGTTTTTGTGAGCAGATTATGGTTTAGAAATTAAAACATTTCTAGACATAGAGTTCTGTACTTTAAAAATTTTCTTTCCATATTTAATTTATTTTCTTATCACCTTGGCCTCATCAATTCATCCCTGTTCTTCTGATGCTTGTCTTTCTTTGAACAGTTGACTTTGTTAGTCCTCATCTTTACCTCCAAATGGAGGCTTGCACTAAGATATTGTCTTATTTCCCTTTCTCAGCCTCTGCAGTACGTGATTCATTATTCTTCATGATCTCCATTTACATCTCAAAGTAAGTTGTCTTTTCTTCTTTGATTTTGCCATCCTGACCATTTTTGCCCTATGTAAATACTTCCATCTCGGTCACCCATTTGCATCTCATCTCATCTCTCTAACTCTGCATTGTTGATTACAAGCAAGACCGTCCCTGGACATTGCCTTGAAACTTTGACTATGCTCAACCTACAGCTTCCAACCCCACCTCCTTTTGCATCTGTCCTTGGAAAGCACTAACAAACTGCCAACTGGGTACTCTTTGGCTTTCTCTTTGCTCCAGTACTCCTGCGACTTCTTCCCTCCCCAACCTTCATCTTCAATGTCCTTGTCCCCAGAAAAACATAGATAAATGGAAAATGGGAACAGGAGTGGTCAATCAACCCTGCGAACTTACTCTGACATTCAATGTGATCATGGCTGATCCTCCAACTCAGCACCCTATTCCTGCTGTTTCACCATACCCTTCATCCCTTTAGCCATAAGAGCTATATCTAACTCTTTCTTGAAAACATTCAGTGTTTTGGTCTCAACTGCTTTCATAGGCAAAGAGTTCCGCAGGCTCACCTCTTTCTGGGTGAACAAATTTCTCCTCCTCTCAGTCCTAAATGGTCTACCCCACATCCTGAAACTGTGACCCTAGTTCTGGAATCCTATTCGTGAAAATATATCTGCAAAATGTCAAACTGTGACAGAAAAAATATACAAAGGAGGGAACCTAAGTGGAACATAAGAAGCAGAAAGTTAGAGGGAACCGGAAGATTTATGTTTTACCTGTTACAGGGAGATGGGGTGTACATCAGATCAACAGATGGGCGTCATTATGAAGCTGTTGTCGATCTAACTTGTTCATTAAAAGAGTGATGGAGAGACAAACATAACGAAACTTATAGTTCTGAGGAAGAGTCACTTGACACGAATCGTTAACTCTGATTTCTCTCCACAGATGCTGCCAGGCCTGCTGAGCTTTTCCAGCAACTTCTGTTTTTGTTTCTGATTTACAGCATCTGCAGTTCTTTTGATTTTTTATGAAACTGATAGTGACTGTTGACTGCTCATGATCCCTATGTTAGAATTGGCAAGCTGTATATTTATGCGAGATTAAGGATTGTGCTACTGACGCAAAAGCCAGTAGAGGGAATGTGACATAATAGTGTTAAATTCACAATTCTACACAGATTTTCATACTTCATAACAAAATCCATGGGCATCAAGGCTCAAACTCTCCACTGGTTGGAGTCATACCTAGCAGATAGGAATTTGTAGTTATTGGAGGTCAGTCATCTCAGCTTCAGGACATCTCTGCAGGAGTTCCTCAGGACAGTGTCTTAGGCCCAACCATCTTCAGCTGCTTCATTAATGACTTTCCCTCCATTATAAAGTCAGGAGTGGCGATGTGCAATCATCAGTAAACAATGTCCAGGACCATTCATGATTCCTAAGATACTGAAGCAGTCCATGTTCAAATACAACAAGATCTGGACAATATCCAGGCTTAGGCTGACAGGTGGCAAGTAATATTCACACCACACAAATGACAGGCAATGACCATCTCCAATAAGAGAAATCTAATCACCGCCCCTTGACATTCAATGGTGTTATTATCACTGAATCCCTATTATCAGCATCCATGGGGTAACCATTAACCAGAAACTCAAGTGGCCTCACCACATAAACACAAAGATCGGCTCTTATAGCCAAAGGCTAGGAATACTGCAGCGAGTAACTCACCTCTTGACTACCCAAAGCCTGAACACCATCTACAAGGCACAAGTTAGGAGTGCAATGGAATACTCCCCACATTTTTTTTATTCATTTACAGGATGAGAGTGTCGTTGGCTAGGCAGCATTTATTGCCCATCCCTAATTGCCCAGAGGGCAGTTGAGAGTCAACCACATTGCTGTGAGTCTGCAGTCACATTTAGGCCAGACCAGGTAAAAATGACAGTTTCCTTCCCTCAAGAGCATTAGTAAACCAGGTGGGTTTTTCCAACAGTCGACAATGGATTCATGGTCGTCATTAGATTCTTCATTCCAGATATTTTATTGCATTCCAATTCAACCATCTGTTGTGGCAGGATTCGAACCCTGGTCCCCAGAATGTTATCTGGGTCTCTGGATTAACAGTCCAGCGATAATATCACTAGGCTGTTGCCTCCCCCTTGCCTGGATGGGTGCAGCACCAACACCACATACAAAGTTTGACACCATCCAGGACAAAGGAGCCTGCTTGATTGCATCACATCCACAAACATCTATTCCCTGTAGCACCGATGCTCAGTAGCAGCAGTGTGTATTGTCTACAAGATGCATTGCAGAAATTCACCAGAGATCCCTAGATAGTACCTTCCAAACCCACAACAGCTTCCAGCTTACGGACAAGGGCAGTGGATATATGGGAACACTACCACCTACAAGTTCCCCTCCAAGCCACTCACCATGCTGACTTGGAAATACATCGATGTTCCTTTGTTATTGCTGGGTCAAAATCCTGGAATTCCCCCACTGCGGCCACAGCAGATCAACTGCAGCAGTTCAAAAAGGCAGCTAACCACCCCCTTCTCAATGGTAACTAGGGACAGACAATAAATGCTGGCCAGCTAGCAACACCCACATCCAACGAGTGACTAAAAAAAATCCTTCGTTTCAAAAAAGGGGCAAAAGCACTGAACTAATTGTATTGCATGTTGTTTAATTGTAAAATGTTCACGTCTCAGGAGCTTAAACTAGTGTAATAGGTTAAGACATATTCCTTAAACCCCTTGGAATGGGTTTGAGTGTGGCAGAGAGTGCCGAGATGGTGGTTTAAAGGATCCTCTGTGAAATGGGGTACATCAGCCCAATTCTAATTTAACAAATATTCACACAGGGCTTTGTTCTTTAGAGGCACCTTTTCTTTGAGTAATAGACTTTGGAGTTAGCCAATCACTGCAGCATTTCCATGGCAGTGCCTAGATCAATTGGAGGGGCTTGCCTGTTTTGAATTTAATTAGTTAACTAAGACACTTAGCAGTTCCTGTAGCATCTCCATGCCATTCAAATTTCCAGTTAATCAGTTAATAATAATAATAAATTATTGCTTTCTTCTAGAATTGTCTGAATCTTCCGTTTTAGACTGATGAGTGCAAGACAAAATGTTTTGATTTCAAGTCTCTTTTTAGCAAAGTTTAAATTATTGCAGATCACCAAGTCCATAATAGTTAGTATGGGAATTGGAAAGAAAATGCCTTTATCATGTAATCTGTGAGGAATATTGCCCTGTATAAGGCTATGCTACACTGATCAGAAAGGACATGGTTAATATGTACTTGTCTCTTAAGAGGCAAAGTTCACCATTTACGTAATTAAGCAACAAGCAAGGCACCAGACAGTATCAAGATAAAAGAAAAGGCTTATACAAATGCAATGAATAGTATGAATCCTGCAGACTGTGAGGGCTATAAATAGTGCAAAATGAATAGATAAATTGTAAAGAACGCAGACAAAGTTATGAAGAAAACTTTAAAGGGATATTAAAGTTAATGACCAAGTTTTAATAATTATTTTAATAGAAAGGGAGTGCTAAAACAGAATGTGGATTCATATAGACAAATGCTGATGAAATATAATAGACAATGAGAATTTGACAATCCTGTTGAATGAGTACTTTGCATCCATTTTCATAGTTGAGGGAGAAGGAAGTTGAAATATTTTTATAATGGTGATACAGGAGCTGTGAGGGAGGAAAAAGTAGTGAAGTGCATAGCCCTCTAAAAGCTAGTGCCAAGATACAAAAAGTGACCTAGCAAATAATAATTGTAAAATTAGAGTTAATCCATTTAAAAGTGAAACCAGAAGCACTTGTTTCACATAAGACAGTGAGAATCTTGAACTCTCTCCCTCACAAGGCTGTTGGGCCAGTTGAAATATTTCTGAAGCTATTTTAAGATATGCTGTTTGGATGAATGGTATTATCCTTCTTTATAATGCATTTGAACACAGTGATTTCACTGTATCCATATTATTTTCTCACTTACAAGGATTAGCTGGAAAACATGGAAGATTACAATCAGCATCATAGAGAGTTTGCAGAGAAACATACAGGAAAAGCTGAACCATGACATGGAAGTAATTGTTCAGTAAGTCTTTTGTTAAAAAGAAGGACTGAACTTGATTAAAGCAGCAAAAGCACCTCTAATTTCACTCTTGACCCCCACCCCCTTCATCCCAGCAAACACATGCATATATATATATATATATATATCTGTGTGTATATATATCTTAGATTATAGATTTAATTATTGTGCAATTGGCAGCACGTAATTTTGATAGTTCTGGAGACCTGCATTGCTGTCAAAATGATGTCACATTAATTACAGTCTCTGGATTAACGTAGAACTGTGTTTATTTTGACTTTCTTTCAGATGCTGTTGAGAACACTTACATAAAGGGTCTTGGTAATTTTACCCTGGGATGAAAGCAAAGTTATGTGCTTGGACTATAACTGTGACACGCTGATGGTTCTGTTAGAGATTTTTAATTTGTTTTAGATACACTTCTGGGTTCAGCATCAGTGGTCTTTCACATAAATAGACGTAAAATCCCTTATAATAGACTGATTAGCAAGGTCAGATCACATGGAATACAGGGAGAACTAGCTATTTGGATACAGAACTGGCTTGAAAGTAGAAGACAGAGGGTGGTGATGGAGGGTTGCTTTTCAGACTGGGGGCCTGTGACCAGCAGTGTGCCACAAGGATCGGTGCTGGGTCCACTGCTTTTCATCATTTATATAAATGATTTGGATGTGAACATAGGAGGAATGGTTAGTAAGTTTGCAGATGACACTAAAATTGGAGGTGTAGTGGACAGCAAAGAACATTACCTCAGACTACAATGGGGTCTTGATCAGATGGACCGATGCACTGAGGAGTGGCAGATGGAGTTTAATTTGGATAAATGTGAAGTGCTGCATTTTGGAAAGGCAGAGCAGAACTTAAATACTAGGGAGTGCTGCTGAACAAAATGACCTTGGAATGC